AGAGGGTTTGGACTGACAGACAATTACATTAAAAGATCCTTAATTCTGCCCTCTCTGTGTTGACTTGATGCATTAGTCATGAAACTAATGACCTGCCACACAGCAGGTAGGCAATGTGTGTGTGTGCTTATGGTGTCCTTTTAGAGGCATCTCCTTCTCCTGGGAGAAGAGAATGAAGAGAAGCTGTCTTGTAAATCTGCTGTCCCTTGGGATATAAATGGGATCAGCCAAAATCCAAACATTCCCTATTACCCTTGCTTACCCAGCACCCGCCAAGTATTGACCAAGCAGACCAGGCCTGCATCTCGGCTCTTAAGGGTTTATTGCTGTGGATTTATCAGATCTATCCAGAGGCACTGAATGTGCACGGGCACCAATTTATTGTGATGAGGCAGGAAACGCTTTCTTCCCCTGCATGGGTAGGCAGCCGTGGTCAGAAATTCCCAAACCTGATGCTGAGAACTTGCTTGTGTGTGACCTGTTCTGAAACAGGAGTCCCCATACAAGAGGCACTTATTATCCTTTTACCCAAACTATGCTTTGGATTCAAGACTCACAGAGAAAAGGGACATTGTTCACACGTGCTGTGTGTGGGTAGCGACTTGTAAATGATTTCTTCACTTGGGAGAAAAGTAATTTTTGCATCCCAGATTTGGGATATTGGAAAAGGCTTCAGATGGTCTATGAACTAGATGCAGTTTTCTGGGGGTGTACTGGAGTCAAGTGGCAGAGCCACGGCAGTCAGCTTGCAAGGCACGGACAGAAGCTCTTGCCCAGAGGAGAACATGCTGGCTAACGCGAACCCCAGCCAGACCCCAAAACCAACTTACTCTCTAGTCCACTAGTACTATGATTTTTATGTAGAGATTATTGATTTTAGGCCATGGTGTCAGAAAAAGCAAAGTTCTGTACTTAACACGTGATCTCATGGGTCATAAACTGCGTGCAATTACAGCAGCACTACTTACCAGTAGTTTAAACAGTGTATGTTAGTTGTTGTTATTATCTCTCCCAAGAGATTACTGCTATTGCTGCCTGTAGGTAGTGATTTACAGTGGTGTAATCATCTGAAAACACTGGATTTGCTAAGCTTCTCAGATAATACAAGACCAAGTCAAAATGGACTTAAAATGTTTTTCTTACCTGAAGATGTATTATTTTATTATGTCCCACCCATCCACTCTCCAACAGGCAGAGAAAAGTGGGTTTTAATTGGGGGGGACATGCTAGCATGAGAAAAATACCAAGGGATTTCTGTGAACCCTAGTATTAGTGGTAATCTCAGTGTGACTGGAGTGTTCAGTAACAATGCAGATACCGCTTGGCTCTTCTTGTTTCAAAGAGCACTGCCAGGTTTTTCCCAGAACCTGACATCAAGCCTGTGAAAGTCTTCTTCCCTGAAGTCATTCAGAAAGAAAAAATATGTGCTATTTTGCCTCGAGTATGTAAACCAGTACGTTGTTAGAGATTGTAACAGGCCTTGAAACCTGTTAGTAAGTGTTCTAGTGATAAATGATTGTTGTATTAATTTATTAATGATTACTTAGCCCTTCAGGAAAAATATTGTGATCATGCAGGGAGTTTGAGCTTTTTTCTTAACAGAGTGGACTTAGAAAACCTTTATAACCTTATGCTAGTTAATTTTTATTTTAATATTCTTCACCAGTAAAAAGCCCTCCCTTTGCTTACCTTCATTTCCTTGTGCTTTGGTGGGGTTTGACACTTGCAGGCCTGTGTCAGAGGAGACCAAGGCACATCTCCCTGTGTGTGCCTGCTACTCCTGTGCGCCACGGGGGCTCGTATATAGCAACTCCATAGGGATCCAGAGCGCTGTGGTGGGATAAGGCAGGGAAACACGGGGCAGTGAAATGGAGAGATTCTGGCATGAGCCGGTCCAAGGTCTCCCTGCATTGAGTTTTGCTCCTTTCCAGGCTGTGGGGCCGAGGTCATTCCTAGTGTGGAGGCAGCAGAGGGCAGGGCCAGGCAGGATGTTTCCATGGATGGTACAAACCAGCGGTGAATCCTGAAGGCAAGAGCCCTTGAGCTCCAGCATCCTGCTCTCCCGTCCGCTGGGGAGGACGGGAAGGCGGAGGCAGCAGCTGCTGAGAGCTTCACTCCTCTCATGGCCCCCAGCACACCCCTGCCCTCGGGAGCCGCTGGCCCCACAGTCCTACAGCCCCTGGCCACCCAGCCCCTGCCCCAGCTGCAGCGCAGCCCAGAGAACAAGTAGATCCACCCGAAGCATGGGGGAAACAGGAGGTACTGCAGTCTGGCCCCACGGTAAGCTGGAGGTGACCCCCCCATTCCCCCAGGAAAACCAAAGCTTGGCTGCTGCTGAACATCCTCATTGTTTCTGAGGGATGGGAGAGATGAGGCAAGGAAAATATGCCTTCTGCCCCACAAAAAGACTAAGAGTAAAGCTTTGCCAGTTGGACCGTACCTTGAGAGTTACTGGAGGAGCTCACTTCCCATTAACGTCAGTGGGATTTCTGTGGGAGCTCAGCACATGGTGTGCTGTGAGGGAGACGACAAGGGAACATATTAATGCAAAGGCATGTGAGGCTGAAGCCACCCGTGGTCTGTATTAAGTAAGGCAGCCAGGTGATACTTGACAGATAGTAATGGTTGTACTTGAACAAATTAGTCTCACCCTGAGTGCTGGCTTTCTGCTTTACAGATGTGTCAGTTGGATTAGTCAAATACATTCTCCCCAAGCCTGAAATGGTATTCATCACTGCTGCTCTTTTCAAATGCCTTTCTTTTGTCCTCTTAGCAATTTAAATTCAACTTACTTATGTTTATCTAGATAACGTCCCATAAGTACTTTTAAATATAAATGTACTTCTCCATTTTCACTTCTTCTAAAGCTGTCAACAAAACATACTTTAAAATTACTCTGTGGCACAGATGAGCTCTTCTCTTATCGCTATTCTCTATTCTATATAGTGAGGGGGGTATTGCTCAGTTCTCTCTCAGAAGGCACTGATGACAGCAGCAGGTCCACGTGCTGTTCCCAAAAAGACCTAGTCTGACTGAAGGGTGATGTACGTGTTTGCTGCAGGAGCTTTTCTGTCCTCAGCTTCCTGCTAAAACAAGTTCATTTTGATCGTTCCACATGGCAAACTGCTGTTGATCAGTGTAGGGCTGAATGGTGCTGGTGGCTGACTCATCACTCTTGGCTTGGCTGCTGTACAGCCCAATGAGTGAAGTGAGGTACTACTGACTAAGAAAAAAGGGGCAGTAGCTAACAAAGGAAGAAACAGGGAAGGAAAGGAAAGGGAAGGGAAGGGAATCTTGCAGCCATCACATGGACAGAAAACATTAAGAGAAGTGTCACTAAGGTTTTTGCCAAATCTAAGCGGTTTTTACTTTCCTGATGATGACTGATTCAGTAGGACACTTAGGTTTTGAAAATGGAATGCATAAACTCTGTGTGGTAGAAATTAGCTGAGAGGTAACATGTTAATATACATTGTGCAGGAGTGCGTGGAGCACTTCTGATAGTGAAGGAGCTGAGTTCCTAAACAGTCAGTCCCAAAGAATGTGAAAAATATTTGTGGGAGAGAACAGGCTGGTAAAATGCGATTTTCTGAACTACTTTCTGCTTATTTAAAGCATAAATGATCTTACAGCAGTTCTATGGGTTTTTTCATATCAGTGTTAAGCTTATCTTATAAACACATCTTCAGTATGTAAAGTAAGTTAAAAACATCCATTCTAAAACTCGGATGCAAAGAGAATGTGGCTTGGATGCTTGCTGGCATGAAGAGAGATATCCTGTCTTATTCTTTTGTGTTCTGTGATACAGTTGTAGCATTATCTGGTATCCAGGGCTTTGAAGGATCTATTGTAAGCATGTCAAAGACTTTTTAAATTACTTTGTTTTTGTAAATGTTAGATCACAAAAACTGAGGAATGAGTCCCACAGACTTTCACTAAACAATGTATCCCATTATTGTTTTTCCTGTTTTGGAGTTAAAATTAAACTAGCATTAATAACACTCTGCATATTTATTCCTTTAATGAGAAAAAAAATATGTTCTAATAATTATCGTGTCTATAAAAACATGCATTCAAGGTGCTGTGTGCTGCTGGTGCAGTCAGAGAAAAGAGGTGGCTTGCACAAGATCCTGAAGTCCATGATGGAACTTGGGTGAGACCGGATTTCTGTTGGCATTGTGATTAGTATCTCACCTCCTTAGTGACTTGGGTAGTCTGGGACTAACAAGCTGTGGGACAAATCCTTCCACCTGGCAGTTTTGCACACAGGAAGAGAACATTCCCACAGCAAGTGGTAACTCGCCCAGCAGCTCTTCTGGCCAACACCCACAGGGAGCTAAGGGAGGGGAATGCCAACAGCTACTGGGCAGTTGGCCGAGTATGGGTATGAAGGCTGTGTGGCTGGAGGCTAGGAAGGGCTGAGCCTGAACTTGGAGTCCAGATTAAAAATTGACAGGAGTCTAAGGCTGGGACAAAGATGCAGAAGTGGGAAGACAACAAATCAGCAGCTTGTCATAAGAAAGAAGGCAAAAAGAAAGAATGGGCAGAAAATGCTCTGCCTCCATGCTCCTAGACTTAGTTTTAGGAAATCATAGTCATTCTGATGGTGCCATGTCCCTGTCAGCACCCCCAGCAAAAGTCCAAACTCCCTTTCAGTCTCTTGCCTCTAAAGGGTGACAATGTTCGGTTGTTATCCATTACTCTGTGGTACCTCATGGTACAAAGGTCAGTGTCCTGATCTAGGAGGTCTTGCCTTGCTGAAGACCATCTGGGTGTCAGAATGTCACTGGACTGTGGAATTCCTGCTTTTTTAGCATCATTTTTTAAAAGTCTAGGAAACTGGTACTATTGAGTACTAATTAGTACTACTATTGTACTAACTAGCAAAGGTAGAATAATAGTCAGGTTGTAAAAAGAAAGCATTCAAAACCTACAAAGTGTCACGATTAAGAGTTACCTGGTGATTTGATTTGACCCTGTTATGCATATTCATTAGGATATTTTAAGAATAAGTTTGAGTCCAACTTTATTGATGCTGACAGTTCTTCAATGCAAGAATTTGTGTGAAGCTGTTCATTTCCACAGTGCTCAGTACCATAAACAGTTATCACAATAGCAGCACTTGCTGGGTATTTTAGCTTCATTTTACAGATGGGACAACATTCTTCATAGCCAAGTGACATCTGGAAAGCAGGTTTAGAAGTTGGGATATCTTGGTACCTTTTCTTTAATTTAAATGACTCTCCAGAGCCAGAGCAGTACATAAAATATAGAGGGTGGAGATGAAATCCTATCTCTACAGAAATTAATATAACTTAGACATTGTGGTGCAGATATGTATCCTTAAGGTCTAAGTTATTCTGTTCACCAAACCAAATTGCTTACAAATTGGCAAACTAACAAATATCAGCATTTATCAAAATTAAATCCGTATGTTCTTCAAATCCATATATCATCAACTACTTCCAGATGTAAATATCCATGGATAGTTTTAAGGAACCTCAGTCCCACAGTCAGTTTCCGTCACGATTCTCAGAGTTAGCACTGTTCATAAGTGATATACAACAATATTTGGTCTTTTCAAGAAACAATGCTTGTTGCTTTCCTTAGAGCCAGGTATCCTGTAACCACATCTGAAGGGAGCATCCGAATATAGGCAAATTCTTCAATAGTACTAAATCTCAGCTTGCTCTGGGGATCTGTGTAATTTGCCTGAAAAAGAAAGAATAGCAGAGACACTATTCAAAGAACATCTCGAAACAGAATACTAAAAAAAGTGTCTAATTATAAGACCACAAAATAGTGAGTTTCTTTTCCCAGTAACAGCACTACTGTTCTACCATGTGACTAAAAGTTTGTACTTTTTTTGCTTTCTCCTCATGTTAGAACTTGTGAGAAGTTAACAGACCCCTATAAAATCACATTAGAAATGCATTAAACATAACAGAGGGCTGAAATAGTTTCATACAAAACACAGTGCAAAAGAAATTCCTCAACTCTTAAACTCACCCTGGCAACTCTGTGCCTCGTGCAGTCTCTCACAAGGCAGCTCTCTTTGGAGTCAGGCTGCTGCCAATAAATTACCCACAAAGAGGCTGAATTATGGGTGCTCTGATAGCTTTGGACTGATTTTCTCTTCCTGCATACAACTTAGCTTTTAATTTACTTTAAAGTGGCTGTTAAAGCAAGGGAGTCTCAGCTTATGGTTCTGTGACTGAACTGATAAGAAATTTGAACTCGGCGTTGTGCTTTGCTGCAGACGCCTGCTCTGAGGATTGCAGCCTGGCCAGCTAACCCTGGGCCACGCTGGGATCCTCTGCTAGATTTGGACCCTGGGTGCCTGGGAGCGCTGCCAGTTTCCTTCCATCCTCTCCCCTTCCTTGTTGCTACAGAAACCTTGAGCTTGGATGAGCTCAGGAGGCAGCACAGGAGGCTGGGCTGGCAGGGGATCGCCTCTCCACCTTCAGCCTCCAGGACAATCACCTCCTCTTGTATTCCCAAGTGTCTGCCAAGGCTCTGAAAGTGTCTTCTGCACCTTATTAACAGGAGATGGTGGCAGGCTGCAAGGCATAAGCAGTTGAGATCCCTTAAGAGCTTGCTACTAAAAAAGAAAAGGCCATGAGAGCTGCAGCATTCCCTCCATCTATGCTGTTGAAGTGCAAAGCCATCTACCATTTTTATCTAGAAAAGGATCTGTTGACCATGGTAACAATCCAGTCAATCATCTGGCCTGATAAGATTTAGCAGAAAATTAAGTGTTATTTGTAGCTTGTTTCTTTACAAAGAAATGCCACAGGTTAATTAAATGTAGTCAGCTAACAGTCAAGCCATCAATTAATTTCCAAACAAATGGCAAAATTAGGTCATTAGGAGTAAATTTATCCCTGGTGGTAGCTTCGTGCTTACAGCAGGTATAAATTCATTTTTATTCACACTTTAAATCTGGCCTCATGTAAGAAAAAGCTAACCAAGCAGACTGCTTCTCAAATGTGCATGATTCTGTAATAAACTAGCCAAGCAATATCTGCAATTTGTGTTGCTTGCCAATCTCAAATATGTTAAAAATAGGATGGCAGTTCTTCACCATTCTGATACTTTGCATTGGGCTGTACTGTTTGCACACACTCATGTAGGGTAACTACTCATTTATGCCATGACTTCAGTCTGAAAACAAACCTTACCACTAACTCAGTAATAATTGAAACAGATTAGAAAAGTTAAGTAAGGTGACTTTGCAAAGAAAAAACTCTGTAGTTTTCAGAAATTAAGTCAAAAACCACAGATACATGTTTTTCATATACAATAAATTAGTTCTCTCAATCTGCTTCTATAGTAACAAGGCTGATCCATTTTCAGAAAAAAGAAATATAAACTTTTGAAAGTTTGGGATTTTTTAAAATCTGCTTTACAAGGAATTACTCTATCTAAATACTCATCTTGCAAGTTTGGAAATAATAGTTTTATATTAGAGTGTCAATATAGTAGATAATAGCTTTTGAATTCTAGGCTGCCTTACAAATACAAATTTGCTGCTCTGCTTAGACCATTGGTAAATTTAATTCCATTTGTGTTACAGAAAGAGAAAAGGATCAGTAGAATTTAATTGTGGCATTTAATATAACTGCAGGTATACTGATGGGAGTGTTTTAATACACCTCTCTTTATTTTTTTTGTACCTGCTAGACCATTCAATCCTTCCCTAAATGGGTAATGCTAAGGAATTTATTTTACTTTTTTTTTTTCCTGTGGGAAATCCAGTATTCCCATAGGAAGTATATTCTTACACAAATGCTTTCAGCTTTTACACAGAAAATACAGGGACACTTTTTTTTACTAGATTTCTAAAATATTCTATTACCCCACATATCTTCCCACTAGGAAATGATCTTGAAAATATATTTAGTGCTTCTTATGAAACATTTCTAGCTTAGCAATTTAAAGGACATGGTGTCTCAGTTATCTTAATAAGAAAGATTTTTTTTTTTAAACACTTTATTTTTATCATAGTCTGGAGAAACCTTGCAGGCCAGGTAAAATAGGAAACTTGACTCATGATGCTATTAGAGGATGGAAAATTAAGAAAAAGAAACGTGGAAAGACAAAAAAGGAAACAAAAGCAGCACTCAGTGGATTTATATAGAAAGGTGAGTATTTATACTGAGCTAGAATAGTTAGAGTACATAAATCACTGGAAAGGATGGAAAGGAGAAACAGGTAAAGAAAAACTGAGGAACTGAGAGGAAGACTCTTATTTCCGATGGCTAAACTGACCATTAGCTGGTAGGGTCACTGTCTTCACTCACATCTATAACCTGCATCATTATCTCGCTACAGGTGCAATGACTAGTTTTGAAATGCATCTAAGGCCAGTGCTGGAAAGCATTATTTGGTTCCTTGGAGATGGGGCAGTGAAAGCGACTTACACCCTTATGTCTTCTGTCCCACATAAGCCCCTCACAGGTCAGAGATGGTGCAGCAACTCTAATAACACCTGGTGTGAATGCTATTAATACTTGCAAAGCAACTCTGAGGGGAGAGGATAGAAAAGAGATGAACATCATTAAGTGACCCAATATGGAATTTTTGCTATTTTCGTGACATCTACTCATTATTATTTCACGTGTCCGCTTATCTCCCTTCCTCCATCCACTGCACCTTTATATAGAGTAGGGGTGCATATGCCAAGTTCCTTATTCAACTGACTCCTCTTCTTGTCTGAAAATGAGTTACTGTTATATCAAAGCAATACTCTTACAGGACTGTAAGTCTGCCTGGCTGGAGGGAATTATCTTCCCTGAGTTCCTGTGCGTTCTCTTCCATTTGCTGTCAGTCAGTTCATCCGTGCAGGACACGTTGCTTTCCCCTTCCCTCTTGACCACCAAGGGTTACCAGCCTCCATCGGAGCAACCCACTCCACTTCCAAATCATGCTCAAAGACACAGGCTGGAAATATGCCACCTCCTTGGTGCCTAATTTAAATGTTACTTAAAAAATAAAAAAGTAGAAGAAAACATATGCTACTAAATGAAGAACTCAAATGTTAGGATGTGCAGGATTACAGTTGGCCCTATAGCTATTCTTTGACGCCTTGCCCTCTGTATCCACTGTAAGGCAGTACTTAATTAAATGCTCACCCATTATTTTTTCCAACAGGGACTTTCACCTAATTCAGTGTACAGAATGCAAGGTGCTGAGTTAACCTTCACCAACATAAAAAATGTGTATATTGACAGGGACCTCTATGAGGTGATATCAACCCTGTGAGGTGGGCTAGTGCCCTGTGGATGAGAAGTAGATTAAACTGAGGGAAGGGACCTGGAAATTCTATCTAAGGCTCTTTGACGTTACAAAGTTTTCATTATTGCAGTTACTTAGCATAACGGTCCTTACTCCTTTTTATAGTCCAAAATATAACATTCCCATTCATTTCTATAGAAATGAAGGCATAGGCTTCTGCAAAATAAATGACTGGGGGCTGAAGGTGAAAAGTGGAAAGATATGCTGGTAATAACACCTGTTTTGTTTTAAATAAAATTATTCATTTCACTTAGGAACAGTGTCAGCAGCAGATACAAAATTTTTGTTGGGCAGAATTCAATTACTTTACTCCTGTTTTCTGCCAACAGAATCTCTGGGGAATTCAAGTGCCAAATTGTAACTACAGAGACTTTTTGGAGCATGTGCAAATGTGGTTGGTTTTTTTTTTTTTTTTTCCTCCTTTTCTTCTTCTGTTTTCCTTAACAAAACCGTGTAAAAGAGCCCATCTGTGACACACAGGCTATATATCTGCCAAAATCCAAGTTCCAGCTCTGAAGCATGAGGGTATCTGAAATTCTCAAAAGTCCATGCCAAGTGTTTGTCTCAGGCTGATTTATTTGAGGGAAAGTTTGAGAGCAATGATAACAAGTTGTTTTTTTAAACCGGGGCCAATCAATATAATTTTGCCTAATCTCACTCTTGGAAACTGCTGAGCCATCTTTTTGAAACTTTCTCTTAAAGATAGAATGAAATAAATCAGCCTCAGGCAAACACTCAGCATGGAAAGTTTCTGTCTGTGTGGTTAGAGCTTGGCAAAGTTAGCAGTCATGGAGCATGTGGGCTACCAGCCTCCACTGTAACAATCTAAAAATCAGAAATGATGGGGAGCAGTGCAGACTCTGGATAAATGGTGTGATAGGGGCCAGGACAAAGTATTTAATCTGTCCTGATAGCTATTAACAACCTAAGGATTTTGTGATGTAGAAACAGTATTTGGGGTTTGGGCCTAAATCACCGGACAACTATTAAGCACAAGGCTGAATAGGAACCTCAGCAAGTCCATCTTTTACAAAAGCATGCACCAGCATTATTTCAGCTGTGGAAAGTGAGATGCCAGTTTTGAAGAGAAAAAGAAAATACTTACCGGAAGGCCTGAAATGTCAGAATATTTCTTGGCAGGCTTAAAGGAAGGAGGAGCATCAATATTAAAATCTAGAGAAAAACAAAGAGATAAATCCAGTGTGCTATATATATTTTAAAACATAAACCCAGAATATGAATAGGTAACAATAGTTCTTTGAAATGCTGCCTTTGCTTTCTGAGGTCTCTATTAACTAGCAGTACTAAGGCAAAGAAATATGAAGCAGAATTAACTCTGAAAACATTTAGCCTGTTAGCACTGTTAAACAACAGCCTGATTCTGCTCACCTCTCTAACAGGAGTTCAGTAAGCAGAACTGCCCTCCCCAAAAGGTAAAATGTGAGAGCTAGGTCAAAATGTGTTGATTTCTTCCAAGTCTTAATGAATTCCCTTGCAGTCAGTTATTTGGAAAGAATAGCCATTATCGTACACATGCTGTATGTTAAGACCACAAAATATTGCTCAAGATTGCAGCTCTGAAATACTATAATCCAGAAAAGCAAAGTAATCTTTTAAATCAGTTAAATCTTTAAGCATGTGCCACTTTAAGCCCACTCAATGACCTAGAAAATTGTCTGAATGTTTAAATCAAATGATGGAAATTGCTGTTCTTTGCTGCCTTTTAGATAGCAACTCTCACTCATACACATTTTTAAGACACAGTTGGTATGTTTAAGTAGTTAAATCCCCAGTTTTGGATGTTTAAAAAAGTATCTTGTACCTGACTAATTTTTTTTCCTCCTTCCTGATTGCCCTAGCACTTCATTCAGAAGCTATGATCAATTCAAATACTCCATCTATATCAAATTTCTAACTCCTCTCATAATCCAAAAGACACTAATGCTACAGACAGCTGGCTGTAAATATGCAACTGAATTTCTGTTGCCATTTTCTTAAAAAAAAACCTGTAAATTTACTGTTGCAAACAGAACATAATAGAAACAGCAACCTCAGCAGATTGTCAGTTACAATAGCCAGGAACTCACAGTAGTCTGCACTTTTCTCTAACAGTTGTGTCTAAAACACTTCAAAAAAATTGCAAGCTATTTTTGGATAAAGCACCAAGTCTTGACAAAAAGTGTATGCATATGCTCAATTCTCAAATGCCTCCACTTGCTTAAGTAACATCTGAGGATCAAATTCAGCCTCCAGCTACGTTCAATAGTATCCTAGTTTATGAGTAGACTTGAAGTATATCTAGATTTAGACCACTGCTGTAACTCTGCTCCTGTAGATGTACACCAGCTAGGACTGCTAATCAGGACTGCTAATAGTGTAGTTTCAGCTGTGCTGAACTAAATAGGAGATGTTGGATTTAAATCTCCCAAGAATCCAGGATAAGGGGCTGGATTTGAAGCTTCGGATGAGGTCTAAGCTACTGCAGGTATGTGGCTTAACAGAATCTATCTGAAAATAGTTCAAATATAGCTAATCAAGCAACAGCCACCCGTCAGAAGACATTTGGGCTGTATGCAGAGGAGGAGGCTCCTCAGCAGTTAAGAGGTGACAAAACCACGATGGGAATAAGGAGTTTCTGACCTGGATATTTATTTGGATAAATACATTTCCTGTATTAAACTCTCTCCTCAAATGTATTTGAAGTTTGTAACAACACTCCAAATTATTTGCTTCCCCCTACTTTCCACTTAGGGCTGGTGAGTGTGATTGGACTAGTCCTAAATGTACTACTGGACCCTGTTCAAGCAGGATGCTGCATGCACTGATGAAATAATTTAGGTTTGTTTTAAAGAAAGTTATTTGTGTGGATTTTATTATTTATAAATACATGCAAAGCGTCTAAGCAGCTTACAGCTCGGATCATTTAGTTGCCATGGCAATGCCCTTTCAGAAGCAAGAATTTGTTTTAGGTTCTTCCAAGTTCTGTTCTTCTTGCCAGCTGCTGCTCCACCAATGCCGGAATGCTAGAATTAAAAATATGGTGTTTAGAGAAAAAATAAATAAAGAATACTATTTCAGAGTGTGACACTTCTATTTCATAGTCTTTCTGATACATCTCATCTTGTCATAAACGATTGATTATCCTCACTTATTTCATCAGCAGGCTAATATACTGTACACTTTAATCTTGGCTGCAAGAAAAACAAAGCTTTTTGGACTGTGTCAAAGCTACTATGTTTAGAATTAACTGAAGGAAATAAAAATCTGCTTTTTACATGGAAATAGAAAATCAATGTGGTTAGGTTTAGCCTGAGATTACAGGATTCTGTATGTACTTCCCATCGTATTAGAACTTATTACTATGAAGTTGTGTCTAAAATTGTGATTACACGGTAAATTTTCTTTCTCCTTTTTTATGGCGTATTACAGGTGCAGCTCTAGCTCTTTACAAATTATCCGTGACTGTAGAAAACACAACTGATCTTTCAAAATGTAATGAATACTATGAGAAACTTTCTGGAAATTTTATTTTTCTTTCAAAGGACAGAAGACAGAAGAATAGAAAAAGAGTAGTAAATAAAATGCTGGCTGCCAAGACAATTTTGCATTTTGAAAGGTACACTAATAGAAGGCTTGCCACTGGTACTATAATGGTAGTTTCAGTTATCAAATGTGATTGCTACAGAGTAATTTATTTATGTCCCTCCCGAGACAGAAGCTGCACAACATACTGTACTGCTTTTAAATGATCAAAGGACACAGATTTACAGCTTTACTTCAGAAAAGAAAATGTTCTTACAATTTAGGAGTTGTTATTTCTGTTAATAATTACTACCTGCCACATCAGTCTCATCAAAACTAAGCAAAGTTCTTTCTGCAAACACATTTCTGCTGTGATTGGTTTATAAATTAGCCTGTTAAATTGCTGAGAATGATAGCAGGAAGGATCCAATCAGAATGCCCTTTTCTGTAGACACAAGATATATTCAGGAAAGATGCTCATGAGCTGAGGTTTTGGCAATGGATACCCAATATAGAAAGTACATGCAAACATTTGCTCTGAGAGTAACATCTAGAGATCATTGTAAAAGAGAGGCTGCTGGAGTATGAGATGAAAGTAGATGTACTATCACATTACTAATTCAAATTCATTACATTAATTTTTCCCCAAATCATTGCATAATGGGTTTTTTTTCAGTAACCTGGTTTCTCAAAGGAAGAAGCTATATGAACATACGCCTCCTAGGAATGGGCCTGAGTATCACCTCATACTTATAGTCAAAAGGCAATGACTTCCAAGTCCAAAAGAGCCGAGCTACCTCTGCACTAGCAAAGTTCAGAGAAAGATGGAGCTAGGACAGGTGGATATTCATTGCTCTACACAGTTGTCAGATCTTCCTCCCCTTCCCCATTGCCAAGAGATGCAAATTCCATTTAGGAAGTTTAGAAGAAGGTAATTTCTTCCTTATTCTCTGCTTTAAGTCTATCCTCTGCAGTGAGCTAATGGTTCAAACTTGGGCATATTTATGAGACAGACATGATTTATTTTACTCCTTTTAAGGCAAATTAGGATGGAAGAATGCAAAAAGTCACCCAAATCGTTGCTACCAGTTCATACTGACAAAAAAAAGCTAGTTGAAACTCAATACATTTCTTCTCAAATTAGTTACTGTACTGGGGAGGAAAAATTCATGTTTTTATTACAACTGCTTATTCTTTCTGCAGCAGTTGCCAAAGGGCCAGCAGATTCATTATTATTGCAAGCATGCACACATTAGTATTGCCTCTTTGGAAATGGTGACATCCCTCTAAGAACTGAAGGATCAGCACAAGGCCTCCTGGCTATTTAAATCCTATATGGAAGCTACATGGAATGCCTCTGGGCAGAAATAAGCCCCATTTCTCAAAGCTGCTGGTGCTCACTGGAGGATTAGAGTGAGCAAAGTATACAGTCATTTGAATGCCCCTCTCGTGACAGAAGCTGTCTGCAAAGCAGACATAGAGCAACTGGCAAGTCAGAGATTAATTTTATACTGCCTGCCAAACCTGTGCTTAGTGAGCTGTGCGATGCCCGATTACTCAGGTTTTATGCTGTGGGATGTTGTATCTTATTCATAGAGAATGAAATCTGGGATAAAATCCTTCTTTCTAAGTACTGGCTTAGGACCAGCAGTCTGAGAAGTTTGCTTGTCTAGAAAGCATTTGTACAGTGTGCCAATGAGCTGGCCCTGGCACAGCAAGATAGAAAGATATTAAAAACAAACCCAGCAGTGGCAGCATTACTAGCTGTAGTCTTCCTTCACCTTCTGCCCCAGTTTAAACCTCAGAGTCTTTTAGCAGCCTGTATTTCCTCAGCTGTCAGAGTTTACATGACTTCTGAGCGCCGGCAAGCCAGGCTTCTGGGGAGCACAGAGCGTTTGCTTCTGCATCTGGCAATTACTGGAAGAACAGTCACCACAGGTCTGTTAGAGTTTCAGGGACCAGGAGAGGAGCAAAATGCCAGCTGCTAATGACTCTCTGGCTCATTTCTAGTTCAATTGTTTTGCAGCCTGCCTTGGTTAGGAACTGGGAGATGGGATCCCTGCATTCACAGTAGTATAAATTATTCCTCTCTTAGCTGTGGTAGTTTGTGAGGTATCACATTGTAAAACTTCTGCACTTACCTTGATCTAGCAGGTTTTCTGACTCTGTTCCATAACTTAATATAATAGTTCTGCCTCTGGACCAGTGACATTTTCATGCTATAATATAGTGTGCACTCGGACCGTAGTGTGGCATGGACTTGAGATGATTTTCTTAAAAATTGCCGAGCTTTTATTTGGCTGTTAGGCTGACTTTCTTAATATTTACATTAGCAATACGGTTAAATAGAATCCTAGTTAACGTTTTATTTGAAGAGTGTAGAATTTCATAATGTTAAAATAATGTACTTACAATGAAGTTTGGATCTTTAAATGGTAATGGCTTGACGGTTGTTTCCACTGATCCAGTGCTGGAGTCTGTGTTCAGAAATTTGTTTTCATTCATGGCCTCTCCACCTGCACTCTGAAGAAAAAATACAGTCTTACTGTTTGTTGTGCTGAGCAAGTTTAACCGGAGACTGAGCTGTCTACTGCATTACGTACCTGTTGCCTTTTTAGCCTTTCTATCTCTTTTGACTCTTTAAAGATGTTGCATGAGCAGTGGGGAACCATGAAAGAGAGTATTTGTCAAGCAATTTACAACTGACACATAAAGGCGACGAGGGGAATAGAGCGGCCAAAGCCTACTGAGTAAAAACAGCATTGGGTTTACTTCACTATTAGTGAAAGCCATCTCTGTAAAGTTCAAGACAGCATGTGAAACCAGAAACAGCAGAAATGTACATTTGATTTGTTTCCAAATTTTTGGTATTAGAGCATTAACAGGAATATATAAAATTTATATGAAGTTTTTTTCAGGGTTCTAAAGAATAATTGATTAATCAGTTTATTCTCCATATTTGGCTTCAACCATGCCTGAGTGAGGACTGAGGGTGAAACAAGATTTTATTATATATATTATTTTTATATACGAGCCTCACAAAAATCTACATTGGTACTAGTTGCTGGTTGCTGTTTTCTAGGCTTTTCTTTATGGTTTATTTATTTAGCAGGAAGAGCAGTTGGAGAAGGTGTGTGTGTGATTGGAAAGCTAAAAAAGTTGTGTGGCAGTCTAAACAATTTCTGATAGTTCCGCATGGCTGAGTCTATGTTGCTTTTTTATTTTGTGAGTGCCCTGTAAGTCTGCACACTACCAGAACTAGCCCACCCTACAATCATAAATGTTCCTTGTGAAATCCTGGTCCATTCTGAAGCCAATAGAATTTCGCCATTGAGTTTGGCAGTTCAATCAATACGATTTCATATCTTGATTCTTTTTTCTTGAAGAACAAAAAGCTTGGCTAAAAGCTAAATCGATATTTACTGAACGGGTGGTTAGGATGTTTCTTTATCTTCAGACAGGTAATATTTACAACAAAAAAATGTTTTTCTGTGAAAATCTGCACTGCAAAACCTTATGTGTTGATACAATACTCTTTTAAGTAAGAGAAAAAAGGATCATTATTATGAGTGAATTAACGGGAGTACCTCTAGAAACTGAGACTATATAGCAAAGGCCATGATTCAGCATATCCTTCTCCACGTGATTACAAGGGAAGCGTTTGTATTCTTAACTACATCCATAAGTAATTACAGGATTAGGAACTAGGCAAGTTGAATTCTTCTTTGGGGAAATACATCAGTTATTCAGCGGTGCCTGTTCCTGACATAGCAAAGAGAGGTCTTAAATATTCAAAGTATTGTACAAGGAAGCATATAAGTAAAATAGTCACATTTCTAGTGTCTTATTAAAATATATGAATAGAGATGATCTGTATTCAAAACCACAGCCAGTCCTCTGTAAGCTTATAGTACAGGGTATGCTGCCAAAATAACATCAGTGGAAGCAGCATTGAAGTCTGTAGCTCAAACTTGATTCTTCCCTTGCTGAGAACAACATTAAAAGGCAGTGACTGCCACAGAAACAGAAGAAATGGAAGATGGATGTTTAGAAACATGTGCATTATGTGACAGTGAGCAGAGAAAATATCTTCAGCAGGCCTGAGCAAAGTAGCTTTATACAATGAGTTGCTAGGTTTCAAACTATATTCTTGCACATGCATACTTCCAGCACTTCAGATTTCAGCAGCAAACATTAAAGTCAATCTTGAGAAAGACAAGGCTTGAGATACAAGATTATTTTTGATGAATAAATTATCTCCAATACTGCTCATTGTTAGGTGTAAATTCTGTAAGAGGAGGAATCAGTACTCACAGTTATTCTTCAAAGCATTCTTGCTTTTTATTTGGTACCATTTGGTTGGTTTTAAATCCAATCCTACAGTTTTTTATTAATTACTTTATCGCTTTTGCCCCTTCAGTGATCTTCTCCTAAGCGTTCTGTTGCTTATGAATCCAGTTTTGAGTAGCATTCCAACAATATCTCAAAATAGTATCTAGTATTTTGAGATGCAGCAAATACAAATGGTTTATCAGTAAAGGGGGAGAAGCTTCCTTATACATATAGTCCTTAATTTCTGCAGCTGGGTACATTTACATATTAACACTCGCTGTCTTCAGCGGGTTTTTCTGTGTGGATTCAGCGCTAATCCTGCTGGCACACTGGGAAGGAAAGTAAGGAACTGTTCCTGGCAGGATAATTCCTGAATGTAAATTCTACATGTCGTTTCATTTCCAGACCAACCCCTAGGGGATTTCAGGTATTAGTGCTGCTAAGAGTCGGCATAACTCACATTACAGGCCAGATGTTAATTTTGTTTGTGCCAGTATCCCTTGCACAGTGGCAAGAGGGAGCAGGATCTGGAGCAGCAGCTGCTGATTTTCTGGGCCATGTGGACATCCAAGCCATCCTCCAGTCCCACTGAGACAGCAGGAGCTTCTGGATCTGTCATGGACAATTTGAGAGCAGTAGTTCCCTCTCCAAGGCCAAGGGTGCGGGCTGGGGTGCAGAACTGTAAAGCAGCTTGCATACCATAGTGGCATGCAATTGATACCATGATTTCAGAGCCCTGAAACTTCCCTGACTGGGAAGCAAACAGGACTGAGTACTATGATCCCAGTTAAATGCTGGGAACTGACATAAAGACACACTGCAGAGGCATGTCAAGTTCTCTCACTTAGCATTGCTTGTGTGAGAACTCTGATCTTTAGCAGTAGCATTAGCACTATGGAAGAGGGATACTCAGCTAATGTGCTTTTCTTTCTGGAAAAACATAAAAGAGTTGAGTAGCAGCATTGCTTCCAGAATAATGTGCTACAGCACAAAGGAGTGAGCTCTGGCAAGTACAGACCTTTGAAATGCTCTTTCCGTGCAGCCTGCAGAAGTCTGAGCTGATATCCCCAGCAGTTTTTCAACCAGAAACTGAAAGTGTCTCAACAATCTAAAAATCTGTTCAGCCTATGTTTTAAAATGCTTGGATTTAAAGCATAGGAAACATCATTTAAACTTTCAAGCTTGTTTTTTGAAAGTTTTAAAGGGGGAGGGGGAAAGATGCCAAATGAATTTTAACTACTATGGATTTACCTTTGTACTGCAAAACCCATGTTTCCTGAAAGTGAATAATACAGTGATAATACAAAACATTATTTACAGCCTGAAAGAAGATTCCTCAGTGAACAATTACTGTACAGTAAAGGTAGTCTTTCACTTTAAACTTTAGTTGAACAAATCTCTCCCAAATGCGCTTGTTTGCTTGGTCTTTTAGTTTGGAAGATCATTCTTCACTGTCATGTGCTGGGGCAAACAAACAGGAATGAATTCGAATCCCCTTTGTAGTCCTCCTGAGCGACGGTGGTCTGGTGAGCGCAGGGAGGAAGCGCGGGTGGGCAGGGAACACGCAGTGCTCAATGTGTGCTGTAACCCGCCGCCACGTGTGGGGCAACTTCCCCTTCCTGCCACAGTCACAACCAGCCCCCACCACATTCCCTCTGCCCAGCCAGGCTCCCAGAGAACTCCCTCACCCCCCAGCATCCTAGGACAATCCCTAAAGTAGTGGACTTTGCAAGCGTAACCGTGAGCTGAAACTCTCCATAGCTTCTTTAAAGTTTCTTTTTAACTGATCTTGTAATATAAACATCCTTTATGGGGAGCTCAATATACACTTCAAGGAGAGAGACAGTGAAGCAGCTGTTATTGTGCACTTTATAACTAAATTGTATCTTTTAAACAGTAGTTTATGTAACTACGGCTACAGAGAATTTGTGCTGAGCAGTCTGTATTCCTCTATAGGTTGTTGAAGACTGTAGCAACAAAGCCTCTGGAGTAGCTTTACATGTACAGGGTACATCTGCACTGGCAAATGAAGGTGTGATTTCAGTCCAGCTGATCAAGCTTATGCTAAACAATAAACACTAAATAACAATAAAAACACTGCAGTAGACTGCAGCTAAGCCATCACTAACCATGCTCATCATTTCCACCCGACTCCTTCCCTGGCTGTTAACCTCCACAGAAGTCCCTGCTGCCACAGCTTCTCCTGTTACCTCCTTCTCTCCTCCTTCTCCCTCCCAGTGCCCTCCTTAGTCAGGCGTACAGCAACCTTGGCTGGGTTGGCACGTTTTAATGTTGTAGACACTGGGTCAAAGGCTTCTTATGGAACCACTTGTGCAATTTTATTCCCTCTATAAAGTTGTATTTATGTGCTTTAGCTGAATTTTAATTGCAACCACAGTGTGACAGGCTGGCAACCTCTATTCCACCTGGGATAGATGGGAGCAACAGTGAGGGGTGCTGCTTCTTTTTTGCATTTCTTTTCACAAGGCCATCTGTCGATGGTCCCAGCTGGGTGGGACGCTGTCCTCCCTGTTATCTGCTGGGACTGGGTGACAGTCGCTGAGTGAGGAAGCTGGCTGAGGTCAGGAGACAACACAAATTCAAGAGAGAGCAAAGACCTGTGGCGAACACTCGGGAGTCCTAAGAGGTTTGTTGTAAGAGCAGCCAAGTCTGGGGAAGAGACCTGAGCTAAGCTTTGCTACCTTAACACTGGTTTCTTTTGAATAAAGCCAAACCCCAGGAATGAGCCTAGTTTGGACCTTACTGTATATGCTGTCTGTATACTGGGAGAAAACACACATTGGGAGGCTGCCTATTCACATACTACTTTCAATCTTAGGTTTTGGTAGATCTATTAATTTTTTCAATTTATTCTGTTCCAAATTCCCTACCGCAGATGTATTGGTTTCCACATGATTTCCAAAGATTGCTCCATCTGTCTGGTTTTATTTAGGGAGAGGACAAGCAAAACTTGTAGACCATGGAAGATGAATTCTTTGTTTTGGCTATTTCTAAGTGGAATCAGCACTGTGGGCTTTGGGATGGGTATCTGTGATGGGACTAAATACCAGGTGAAATTAGCTTATTATGAAAGTGCTTTCCTGAATAATCTTGCCCTCCTCCTTTCCCCCCCCCCTGAAAGGATTAAAACTTCACAACAGAGTAACTGATTTATGCTGAAGTATCATTTCTTATCTATTTACTTCTGGATTATCTTCTGTAATATTTTTTCATTATTTTAGATTAATAGGGTTTTAG